AAAAAAAAAAAAAAAAAAAAAAAAAAAAAAAAAAAAAAAAAAAATGTGGCTCCCATCAACTAACAAAAATAACTCAATAAAAAAACATTTTTTTATGTCAATCAGCGTGGCAAACAAACAAACTGCTCTGATACGATGTGATAGCGTATGATATGACTGTATCTTCATCCGTATGTATTTGTTTGTCTTTGGCGAGTAAGGCAAGTGGAAATGGGAAATGGCAAATATATGGAAGTTGGATAAATAACGGCACATGTCTCGCTTTGGACTGCTCGCATTTAATATGCATAATTTATCCATTTCACTAGGCAAGGCATATTGAATATTAAATAATGACGAGCCATAGAAACTGAGATAGAAAAAGGAGCGAGAGAGAGGGAGAGAGAGAGAAAGGGAGGGAGTATAGCAGAAGAAATAGAAGCTGTGTACTACAGTCAACTTTCGCTGGCGCTTCCTTTCACGAAAATAAACACTTTTTTTGTCGCATGATAAAATTCAAGGCAAACGAATTGGAACATAGCAGCTGAAAAAAATATGCATCTACATATGTTTTATATGCGTACACACACACATGCATAAATAAATACGCCAACAAAGACAACACAACAATGGTAAACGAGACAACGAGAGGAAAAATGTTGAAAATAAAAAGAAACAAGCAAAATATTGAAAAGAAAAACATAAAAACATTGAAAATAATACGTAAAAATGCGGAAAATGGCAGAAAATATTTGTTTGTATGCTCGGTCGGCCAGGCAAAACATAAAAAATAATAAAGAAAGAGATAGGAATGAATGATGAGGGAATGGGGGAGGTTTGGACAGAAAGAGAGAGACTGAGTGGTTAGCGAAACGTCGCACGAATTGTGGTTCATGCTACAAAAATGTTGATATAGCATAAATACAATTATATATGGATATATGTTTTAACAAATGCCCATGAGACTTAAATATCATATTGAAATTCCAATCGAAAAAATTGCAACAAAAGCTACGATTTTTTATCAAAAAATATGAATTACAGTAAAACGTTGCATGTGACGAATCAATTTGAAGCTCAGGCTTCTGAAATATATATGCATAAATGCAAATAAGTAGATTTTGAAAAAATGTAATCTATAAGACTGATTTGAGATATAAATATTATATATTCAAGAGTTTGATATTCCTATTACAGGGTATATTCCTTGCAATCAAAGATGTAGATTTACTTACTATAAATGATAATGAAACATGATTATTTTCGTGTTACTTACCAATAACCCGTATTAATTTCAATTCTTTCAATCTCCTGTATTCTTACAGCGCATTTCGGAGCGTGCCTTGGACGGTTTGAATAATTTGAAAACGTTGAATTTGCGCAATAATTTGCTGAAGAAAATTGACACCGGCTTGCTGCGTGGCACACCGGCTCTGCTGTCCATCAATGTGCAGGCAAACAAATTGGAAACACTCACGTTCTACACATTCCAGCCAATTATGGACAATTTGGTCAACAGCACCAGCGAGCTGTTGGTGTCAGGTGAGTCGATCGCTGATAATGAATGCAGTTGCTTGACAGACAGAGAGCAGAGCAGTGCAGACATGCTGATATGCAGGCATTTTATTATAATTACGCATACGCCACGTTGGCCTGGTTGACACGAAATGCTGAGCTCAGCTAGTTTGCAGCCGTAAAGTTTTATGACAAGCGACCTGTGAGACATTTGCCTAGTACATATTGTCTAAGCATACAATTAGGCAGGTCACAGAGACATACACACACACACACACACACACACTTTTGCAGTTGGATTGGCTTCATTAAGGAAATGTCGTATCGTCAGTGCTCAAGTGTGCGCTTCCGTTCACAGAGAGACACAGTTGCCTAGCGTGTGTAAGAGAAAAGCTATACAGCCATAGTTGTTTAACAGGCGAGAGTGAGAGAGAAAGAGAGGAAGTTATTGCCGTCTCACTCTCGCACACTGCTAATTGCCAGGGCATTGACAACATTCAGCTGGACTGACAACTGGCAGCAGCCGTGGCCTGGACAAAAACCAAATTAGTCATTAAACTGCAATTTTGAAAGCAGCGAGTCAAGCTCGGTGCACAATACACCACACACCACACCACACCACGCCACTTGAATAGCCACATTTTCATGCCCCACTTTAATGTNTATAGAATATATAGAATTAATTATTAAAAAAATATTACTCTTTTCATTGCGATTATTTAGATTTAACTTTTAATTGCTAAATACTTGACAAAGACTTTCTCTGTCTGTATAAAATTCATTATATTATTTCTTATAAGAACTAATTGCATTCTTGCTTAATAATATTTGTTATTTATGCTAATATAAGCAAAGCTCTGAAACAGAAAATGGCTAGATTTTACATTTATATACCTGTACATCGGCATATACTTATACATATATATAATCTCCTTGGCAAAATGCACTTTCAAGGCTTCTCGAACACCTTGAAAGCCATTAGCGCTTTGTAGGCAATTTCATTTGTAGCTCAGCTTGGCAATTAGCCTTTTGATGTAACCGCTATGCAATCAGTGGCAACAACAACGAAAGCAACAGCAAAAACAACAACAATAATCGTAAAGAATAGTTAGATCGCCTTGGCCCGTGGAATACATTTAAATATTTAACAACAGCCTTCAAAATCGCATTTCTCTTTCATTTAGCAAAAGTCTTGCACACACATTCACTAACACACATGCACACATCAAATTACTGCATATGCACAACCGAATGGCAGTTACAAATGCAACTTAATTATCGCACACACTCGCACACACACACACACACACACACTTTTGCAGTTGGATTGGCTTCATTAAGGAAATGTCGTATCGTCAGTGCTCAAGTGTGCGCTTCCGTTCACAGAGAGACACAGTTGCCTAGCGTGTGTAAGAGAAAAGCTATACAGCCATAGTTGTTTAACAGGCGAGAGTGAGAGAGAAAGAGAGGAAGTTATTGCCGTCTCACTCTCGCACACTGCTAATTGCCAGGGCATTGACAACATTCAGCTGGACTGACAACTGGCAGCAGCCGTGGCCTGGACAAAAACCAAATTAGTCATTAAACTGCAATTTTGAAAGCAGCGAGTCAAGCTCGGTGCACAATACACCACACACCACACCACACCACGCCACTTGAATAGCCACATTTTCATGCCCCACTTTAATGTCGCACCACTTGACTCGACTCGGCTCGACTCGACTGCAAACTCATAACAATAAAATATGTCCTGCAAAATGGTCGTAGGCAGAAACACACTCAGTCTCAATTTCCTCTCACTCTTTCTCCCTCCCTCTCGCTCACTCTCTCTTAATGTGTGTGTGTGTGTGTGTTAATAGCAGCAGCTATTAGCGTGTTGATTAGCTCAATTAAAAGGTAAATTAAAGTGAAATATTAAGTGCATACGTTCACATTGTTGTCACGGCCATTTTGCTAGCTGCCAGGACTTTCATATGCGATCAAAAAAAAAAAAAAAAAAAAAAA